TAAAAATAAAGAAAAAAAAAAAAAAAAAGAGAAAGAACACGGAGGTGAAATCTGATCGCGATGTTTAATTATGGCGAATTAAACGAGAGATTCGATTTGTCAGAAGCATCGTCAAAGAGAATGCCGAACGTAGCCAATTGTCGAATTGAAAGTCCCCTTTGACGCGATCAATCGAAGTATTATATTATTGAACGAAGTGTGCGCCGAGCTTTACCAATTACTCGGACCGTTGTTAATCCTACTTTTTTAATCGATCGATCGAAGCTGGTAGAATTGCTGGTAGAATAGTGAATTCGTAGTTATTGAAATGATGGTGCAACCACGGGCATCGGGAAAATGGTTCTCTGATTGTCCGATGCCCATGCTCGCCGCCGAGAAGTATTCTTTGAATATCTTAATCGCAAAATGCATGAGAACTCTTAAAATCTTAGCACCAGTATATCTCGTCTCTCCCTCTGATGTAGTAGTTCGAATGAAAGTGAACAGAGGTGCAACCTCCATCCATACATTCATTTTTGAAGCAACCGCTTCCGTCGATCTACCATGTAGATCTTTCTGAGATTTACATCTGAAAACGTCTCGGCACTCGTAAGATCGTTTTGTCACACTGTGTCTCACTGCGTCACACACAAATGCTCGGCTTGGTTATCCAGGTTACAAGAAAGCAGATACAGGACTGAGCTCGAAACACAGTAATGGAGGCTCCTTGGACCGGTACACAGCTGACCCGAATCAGAGGGGTGTACAAACGAGGGCAGATATCATACGACCGAGGCCGACACCTTGTAAGCTCCAAATTCCTCACCAGCCCCGTAAAACAAGCTCGCCTGTCGTTAAGCCTGCATGTGTGTATTCTTTTTTCATTTTCTTTTTATTTCTTTCACTTGTCTTCTTTCAGCGTGCCATTTATGTTTTGCCTGAGCTTCCGAGCGGATAGACGGCGAACCGTAATTTTTATACGGTAACCGCTTCGGCTCGGAATAGATGTGCAGCTCGATGAATTAAAGCTTGATACGGAAGTTATATTAGAAAACGCTTTGATCCCCATATACGTTGCTGTAGATTTCTTGCAATCTCACGGTAAAATCGAATTGAACATAAAGCGTTGCTTGCTGTATTTTTTCGCATTTCTTTCTCAAATTTCTTTCACACGATATATAATTCGCTATAATGACAATTTGCTAATCGCGAAAAGAAAAAAAAAAAATGTCGAATTTTTATGCCAACCAATCAAAACCCCTCGACCATTTTCAAGTTTCGTTCCGTTTCGACGACGATTTCTCAAAATATATATATATATCGTCTGGTTCGCTAGAGTTCGCAAGGCTCTGGATCTCTTCAACAGGAATTTTCGTCGAAACGTGTAGTAACATTTTCTCTGTCCTCGAAACAGCGCATTCGCAGAGGTCGAACAAGATCGTGGTGGCCCTGTACAATTACACGGCGCGTGAGAGCACGGACGTCAGCTTCGTAAAGGGCGACCGGATGGAAGTATTGGACGACTCGGAGCCCGACTGGTGGAAAGTTTTACACTTGACAACTTTGCAAGAAGGTCTCATCCCGTGGAACTTCGTGGCCGTCGAGCGTTCGGTCGAGAGCGAGGAGTGAGTGATATCTCTCTCTCTCTCTTCATCTTCCAATTAACAGTTTATATAATACACTCTTGCACAAGGATCTTGCTTTTTCTTCCCCTCCTTTGCCACGAGTTTTTTCTGGCGACTATCTCGGACGTTGTCCATCTTCTCTCTTTTCTTTTTTCCCGGATCTCCCCGTCAGTTGGTTTTTCGAGAACGTCTCGCGCAAGGAAGCCGGGAAGCTTCTGCTGGTGGACGAGAATCCACGGGGGACGTTCTTGGTGAGACCCAGCGAGCACAATCCACGGGGATACAGTTTATCTGTGAAGGACTGGGAGGAGGGAAGGGGCCATCATGTAAAACACTACAAAATTAAGCCGCTCGACAATGGAGGATTCTTTATCGCCACCAACCAGACATTCCCGACTCTGCCCGCCCTCGTTATGGCGTACAGCAGTAAGTTTCGCGCTGAATTTTCACAGATTTATTTTTTCAATCTATTTTCCTTCTCTCTCTCTCTCTCTTTTCCTCTGCAATATTTTACTATCAAACTGTTTGTACTGTTCGCGAAAAATACTAGGGGATAAGTCACGTTTCCTATTTTTTTTTTTTTTTTTTTTTTTCACGCAGAGGCAATTTTAAAATTCAACGTTTCGGTATCTCGGTACTTTGTCACGATAAATTTTCGCTTTTGTGAAAACCGTATTCGCGTATGTGGAATTCCGAAGCTTTTAAGTACCAACGTCCGATATATCGATACCTATATAATATCTGAGAAAGCCGAAAGTGGTCTCGAGTCTTTATTTGATTTGATTAACTTTGAAAATATAGAAACTACGATAATTTATACGCGAAGACATGTAAAATTAAACTTCGCCTGGCGATTTAAATCCGTCCACTAGCAAATGGGGACGGATTTAAATACCCCGTCCTTAGAAGGCTAAACCACGCTACGTTTATACTGTATCGGTATCAACGATCCAATTGGAATTTCAACATTCACTGTACTATATACGAACACGTTGCAGAGAACGCGTTGGGTCTCTGTCACGTGCTCTCGAAGCCATGCCCGAAACCGCAGCCGGACATGTGGGACCTCGGGCCCGAGTTGCGCGACAAGTGGGAGATCAACAGGAACGAGATCCAGCTGATACGGAAGCTGGGCCACGGCAATTTCGGCGAGGTGTACTACGGCAAGTGGAGGAACAAAATCGAAGTGGCTGTGAAGACGTTGCGGCCGGGCACCATGTCGACGGAGGCGTTCCTTCAGGAGGCGGCCATCATGAAACAGTTCCGGCACAGACACCTGGTCGCGTTGTACGCGATCTGCTCCAAGGAGGAGCCGATTTACATCGTGCAGGAGTACATGTGCAACGGCAGCCTGCTGGACTTTCTCAGGACTGGTGACGGCAAGTACATGCAGTTCGAGGATCTGATCTACATAGCCGCGCAAGTGGCATCCGGCATGGAACACCTCGAGAGCAAACAGCTGATACACAGAGACCTCGCCGCGAGGAACGTGCTGATAGGCGAGAAGAACAAAGCGAAGATCTGCGACTTTGGCCTTGCCAGGGCGATCGAGGACGACGAGTACTGCCCCAAGCAGGGAAGTCGGTTCCCCGTTAGGTGGACAGCCCCCGAGGCCATCGTCTACGGCAGATTCAGCATCAAGAGCGACGTTTGGTCCTACGGTGTGCTGCTGATGGAGCTTTTCACTTATGGCCAAGTTCCTTATCCTGGTGAGATTCGTTATGCGATAATGTTAATAATTATATTGACTGATAATTAAGGTGACAATTATATTAACCCATTGAACTCGAGGGAATACTTAAATCTAGCCAATGAGTCCTCTTTTTATAATTTGCTGATAATTATACATTTGGTGTTGTACGATGCGATGCATCGTAGTATAACATCTGAACAGTCCAGAGTGAAAGCTGTAATAACGGCGTAAGAGGAACAAAAGTATTTCAGAAGAAGAAATTTTCAAAGACGGTCATAAACTAGACGTAATTCATAAACTAGACTTTTTATCGCTTTTTACAAAATTTCAAAAATGGTGGAGTATGTTACTTTTCCACTCTCGTATATTATACTTGCTCTAAGCAAACCCGCGATGCACGTTGACGATTGCTTTAAATTTAAAACGAGATCACACACGTTGGATAGATATGATCGAACAAAATTTCGCCAAATTAAATACCATTTGAATGATTATTCCCAATGCTGTATCATTTTATTTGAATTGACGATTCGTAAATAAATAAATTGCTGGCAGATGACACGAAAAATGTTCGCCGAGGGCAAAGGGTTAATTTAATGACATAATGACGTTTGTTCATTTCCTCTGAATTTCGTAACGAAGAACTACTTACTAAGAGATAACTGATTTGACAGGTATGCAGGGTCGCGAAGTGATCGAGCAGATCAATAAAGGCTATCGGATGCCTAAGCCGTTGAATCACCCGCTGCCGGACAGCATTTACCGACTAATGTTACAATGCTGGGACGCCAGTCCGGAGAAGCGACCCACGTTCGAGTTCCTTAATCACTATTTCGAGTCGTTCAACGTCACTAGCGAAATACCGTATCTAGAACCGCCAACTGACTGATACACAGCTCACATGCAGAGTCACCTGGTACCGCACGGTCATTTTCATCCGGCGCACATCAATTGTGCCATGGAGTTTTATGGTATTTACTGCTAGATCTCCAGATAGCAATCCATCTGGAGGCTCCGTTACCGTGTTCTTTTTTTTTTTTTTGTTTTTTTTATAAAAGACAATTTTTATTGTCTGCGCGAGTAAATGAATTCTAAAAGAAAAAAGAAAAAAAAAAGAAGAGAAAGAAGAGAAACGAAAAGAGAGAGAAAGAATTGACGAAAGTACACAGAATCGTACAGGAGAACACATTTTGTCACAAGCTGTCTCTCTCTCTTGACGGCGAAGAAGAATTTTGTAAACGTTACCAAATTTCTCGAAGCAATCGTTGTTAAAAAACGCTGCCAAAAGAGAAGGGGGAAAAATTCCGTGATAATCGTGGATGATTTAACAAGTGTTCTTTTTTTATTATCTATGAAAATTGAACGTCACCGAGGAAAAGCATTTCACGAACAATGATTTTGTGTGCCATGGAACTTTAATACGAGAAACAAGAAATGAAACTGGGTCTTGTGTTCGTACTGTATATCGCCAAGACTTTGTGACCAATCGTGGATAACTGCCGACTACTAACGAGTCAAAACGTTGCGACTGAAAAATATAAGAATATTAGAATTTCTCTACCCACTACGTACCCAATATATATATATATATATATATATAAATAAATATATATAAATATATAGAATTTAAAATGGAATCGTTCAACGTTCGAGCTATTTATTAAGCATTTTCACAATTTGGAGAGTATATTAAAAATATTTGACAAAAATAAAAAAAAAAGTATCTTATTATTGCAGAAGAAAAGATATTTAGAGGGTAGAACGGAACCAGTTGAGAACTAAAAAAAGTAGAATTTTAAATGGTAGACGATGTAATCGATCTGTATTAATCCGTCAATGTATGATTACGACGCAGATAAACGGAAGTGTCGCAACAATTGTGTAATCCGCGCGATTGCTTCTTTATCGATCAATCGAATCAATCGCGAGCGATTTCTCCTAAGATCTAAATGTTTTATTTTTCATTTTGGATTCACTCTTTGAAAATCCAAATGCACGTCGATCATCAATGTAATAAACTAGGAGTGCGCAAGCTTTTCGTTTGATTTCGAGCGATACGTCGAGTAGGACAATATTTTATACGAGAGATTAAAATACGTTTTATAAATGTTAAACGAGAAAGACCTTTCCAATGTATTTTTGTTCCGCGAACAGTGTATCCCAAATGTACGATTCGAAAAACATACATTCGTTTCTCCGATGCGTATACATATACGTATACATACATGTATATTATTATTATTTTTTACTGTGATTGCAATCTGTAAAAAAAAAAAAAAAAAAAAAAAAAAAAAAAAAANTTTTTTTATTCACTAAGATGAAGAGAGTAAGAGGAAGTTACTAATAATAGAAACAAACGTATGTATGTTATACGACTGCACGTCGCCACGAGAGGTGACCGACATTATCTTTGAAACTACGTGAATCTATCGAGAAAAAAATAAAATGAAATTAAAAAAAAAAAAATACTAGAGATACTACTCGAAAGGTAAAGATTAAATCATCGATGTTGCTCGTACAAAGTGTTTGAAGAAAAGAAAAGAAAAAAAAAAAAAAATTGTAAATTTTCTACTTAAACATACAAACGACAAGTTAGGGTAGAGTTTAGGCGTTAGGCCCGTGAAAGATAGTTGTAAAATCTCCTCGGGATGTGAAACGCCCCCTCGAATTCTCATTTTCGTAATTCCGTTGTACAAGAATATTCCCCGGACAATGGGTTTCCATCTCGAGGACGTATATCGTTGTCTCGTCATGGTCGTCCTCCGCGGAACGTATCGTTAGAACGTGTAAGTCCGTAAGCGTACACTGAACTATGGTCACGATAAACAAGATGAGCCATCATGACAGTTTAGATATATGTATAAAAACATTTAAACGAGTAAGAACAGGGAGAAAAAAAATATTGAGCGAACGAGTGTGATGGAGGGATCGCGAGAGAAGAAGAGAGGTGAAGAGAAAAGATAATAGAGTATAAGTATGAAAGTGTGAGTGACGATAAGGTGATTACGTACGTGTGAGTGCAGTGAATTGTTACACCTGCGAATGTGTGGTATTTTTTTCACGCGCATCTCTGCCGTGAGCAGATTAAGAAACCAGCAATAAAATGTCCTGCTTCTTTGTACGGTCCGTGACTATTGCTCAATAGGAAGAAAATTCGATTCGTTTTCACAAACGAAACGGGACACAGCACAGAACGTCTGACAAGCCAGTGTGTTTGTTATCTATTAACAAACTGCAATACAAAGTGATTCCAAACGGGCATCGATACGATTGGTACACATCGATTCGAACGTATACGGGATACTTTTACCGGGACCGGTCGCGAACTCGACATTCTATTGCCACCATTATATAGCGTACCGATAAATATAATGTTTTTTACTATAATTAGCGAGGCAAACACCACATACATACCTTCATTGTGTGAGTTGACTAATTTATTCTATATAATAGTATATGATGCGGTGAATGCACGTGAAAAAGCATCATGTTTACGTAGTGTTTAGAAATGTAGCTGTATTACGTCCAGTAAAACTTTTTCTATGAGCGTTTTATACCGATCAAAATGTTGTTGTGTTTCTCACGGAGAAAATGGTCATTTAAGATTATCCGCTAACGATCATGTTGTCGCCATAGTTCGTAGACGTATTGAAATATACAATTGTGCACGAATCCGATTCGTCGAACCGATGGCAAACACACAATGTCCATCATGTATAGAAAGTAACGTTTGATTTTTCTCTATCTTGAATGTCAACACTGTCGCATATACATCATTTTATCCGGACAAGACGAAGAGAGTAGTATATTTAAATGTTAAATACTGGTAAGGGCATCATGTGGCCTTTCCACTGGACCTAGAGACTGATATTGTTTAGACAAGAGGAACAGATCAATTGCATTTGAACTTATATCTGACGACTATACATATACATGCTCGAGCAAATTTTTCACGAGGATAATTGAAATTTCAATTTTTCTTACGAAGCTCTAGAATGAGAGAACAAATTTGGTACATTGGTAGTAGTAGCATTCAGAAGCTATCTCGATTTTATACTTGTTTGTTCGTATTACGAATTAGAGATTCGAGCAGACGTATACGCTCTTTCTATTGTATCATAAAGTAACAACAAATCACGAAAGATTTTTCAATAACAAGAAACAACAGAAAACTTGCATCGACGTATCTGGGGATGCATTCGAAATCGAATTCTAGTCGGGAGACGCTGCGTGTTTTGTAGCTTGATTGGAACATGTACATGTTCCAATCTCTGATGGAAACTATCACGAATGCAATAATGCTATCATCGTTGTGCTTTCGGTAGTCTGAAGGAAGACGTGCATACTCAATATGCCAATTGATTTATGCGAGGCTATCGATTTTCAACCATTCGTTGCCATGAATGGTGCATAGGATATTAAGGTTTTAGAATTAAAATGTTTCGAGCTAAACATTTTGTAGCCTATGAATATTTGTCGTCATGATTGTCAAAGCAGTACTTTATAACGTTAGTTCTATTTTTATTACTCTTTGTCAAATAACTATTTTTACCGCTTGATTATCGCGAAATCGTGTGACAGTTTCACTGTATCTTTTAAAGTATGAATTATAACACGTGGTACGGTTGCGTACGATTTTCTATTTTCAAATTATACCTTCTTCTTTCGAACACTGCGTCTCTCGGCTTGGGGACAAGTTTTCACGAAACTTGATAGTTTGATTCTTTCTGTAATTCGTAAAATACAAAGAAGTACATCGTTGAATATTTTTTTCTACAAATTTTGAAAATTTGCTTCGTTGTGGCTCCGTTCAAATGAAATTTTAATAAATCTGTGATATAGTGACAGACCTCATGTTTTTTGATACAGAGTTTGAGTATTGCGCGGGGCTACCAACGAAATCAACGTGTCGGAAATTGCTTAATAAATTCTTTGTAAATGTTGAAAAATGAAAAAAACAGTCGTCACGTGATGCGCACACCAAATAGATGGATATTTTTTAATGCATTTAGGCTTTCGTCAAGGTCTTCACAACACACCGCGCGTCAACATGGTTCACTCGTACCTAAAGTAAAAATGGATCAATATATCGTCATTGTTTACGTACCAAAGCTTATTATTATTAAGTAATTTAATGGTTACTTTGTATCATTGTATTAAATACCATAAGCCTATGCAGATAAATATATTATGTATCATATTAACAAACGATATTTATATATATTTTATCCACACGACTTTTTATCCATACGAACACGCAAGTAAATTGAGATGAGTTAGTTGCAAGAAATTTATTCTAATACCGATGTTTGATTTCGTAATACAAAAATTTTATAAACAAATTTCCTTCATTACCAACTAAACGAAATAATTAAACAAAAACAACCTTAGGAAACAAATAATACATTTTCGTTTATAATTAATATCCTCGCGATATTTAATATCCTTTGTTTATTCTCACATTACTCTTATTTAAATGACGTTCAAATTTAATTTGAATCATTTCAATACTCCTTTTCTCTACAAAAGATGCAGATTTTTTTCAATACTTTTTTTTCTTTTTTTTAAATTGTATATTATGTATAATTTAGGTACCAAATTAAATTGGATTTGTAGCAAACATACAGTACTTAGACTTGCATCAATCCGCAATCTAAACGTTGCGCGCTAGTCTTTTGAAAAACTGTATATAAGAAATCTGTCTCGTTACAATTTAATATATTATAATTAAATATACATCATCTCTGCCATGTGTGACATCTTCTTTGGAATATGAACAAACTCCTCGAAGTAGCTGGCAAGCTCATCAATAGTGACATCGCATGACGGTGGAGATATTCGTGCTTGTGCTGAACATGTATTCGAAGTTGAAGTTTGACCGCCGGTTGAACCAGTAATTTCCAATTGACTATTATTATTATTGTTAACGTTGTTGTTGCTATTATTGTTATTGTTACTATTGTTACTACTGCCTCCACCTGGACCAGGCCCTCTTTTTAAGCTTGGCATAGTGTTACTGCGTGCCCGTTGGAAACTACTAGCTTGATAATCGTCTTGGATGCTGGTGTCATCCTTGGCTTGTCTAGAGTCTTGACTAATGTTCAGTGCTTTAAAGTCCTTTGCAACCGTACCATGGCCAAAAATCTTAGAACTCTTACCACAGATACTAAATTTACATGTTTCTTTAAGCAACGTATTCGCTAGGTCATCACTGAGACAATTAGTGCCAGTAGTATTGTTTAACTTTAAAACAGCCTCTTTGATTATCGAGTTCTTCTTGGTTTTGTCGAGTGCTCTTTCGTTCTTTGATGGTTTGAAATTCGTTGTGCTTTTCACACCTCTGGAGCTGATTGCAGTTGACGTCGGTCTGACCGGCATCAATCTCTTTTGAAACAAGTGACTGCAGTCGGAACTGACTTGAGCTTTACTTGTTCTAAATGGATTCGACGGCTTCACGCTGTCGGTTGGTGTAACGCTGAAACAGCAGAGAGAAAGAGAGAGAGAGAGAGCATTAGTTGGTAATTAACGAATGAGAAATGATTATTGTATGTAATTGTAATGTAACTCTTTCGAGATTCACATATTAAAATCCGTAAGAAGAACAGATTCCGAGATACCACAAGAATGTTAACCAAGCAACAATTTCAAATCATCAATCTGACGATGATTCATCATTCTTATGCCGCATAACCTTGAATCCCCAGATATTGGTAAACGTTCGTTTCTTATGCAACACAGCGTGAAACTACGTGAACCCGTATCACAGCCGCGGAAAAAAAAGAAAGAGTAGGGCTGGGATTGTATTCGCTGTCGGTTAATAAACGTCAATCGCGTCCCAACGAGCAAACGATCAATCATTCCACTTCACTTTGTCACGTCTATCTTCATTTTCTCGATCTGACTCACGCGTAAATCATTCGCGAAGAGCAACAACGTCCAGCAAATGTAGATGACTCTGTGCACTCGGTGTCCCTTAAACTTACTCGGGGGATATGTAAACATTTTGCTTACGGATCGTAGTCGATGTTGTGGTCGTTGTTGTTGCTGTTGTTATTTCGCAGCATCGCGAATAAGAAACGACGATCATTGAAATGCGCATTCACGAGCGCCTGCATAATTAACGGATCGTCGTCGGCAGAGGACGTACCACGACGACGAGTAAACAGAAATCGTCGCGTAGCCGTGGCGAAACGAGCGGCAGCTCGGTTTGGAGACCTTGACCGCGCGTTGAAAACGAAAATCGCGTCGCAGAAACGAATCCGCGATGCGCGAAACGGGCGACAACGAGGGGGAACTGCGAACCAGTCCCCGAGGCGCTGGAAACACGGGAGACACGGAGAAGCACAGCCGCTTATTTAACGACGGTAATTTCTGGCGGTGAATGCTTACTGAGAACAACTCGACGACAGGCGATCAATCTCGAGCCTCTCCAAGCTCGCCGGCAGCACTTCGTCGGCCATGGTAACAATTTCGCACGATTCCGTGCTCAGCGTTTGCGGCAACATGGCATCATGTCGAATCACTGTTGGCAAACAACGCGTTGACAGCGCGTCGGAAAATTCCAGAACGCGAGGCACACGACGCACCGTGAAATAGGTTAGAACGACGACAGGCTGAATTCCACGGCCGCGACATTCACTCGCGTTTCTTTTTCCCTCCCTTTTTCTGTTTTTCTTTTTTTCTCTCTTGGTTCCGCCGAGCCGTGTTCAGTCACGTTTTCCCGTATTGAACACGTTCGTTGCCGAGTTCGATCATCCGGACACCGTTCGCGGACGCGACGTTGAAAATCAATTAATCATCGACAGCACGTAAATAAACAGACTTTTGCGCGCAACTGCCATTTTACTGCTGCCTCGTACCGGAAGCGACTGTTTTAGATGGCGCTCCGACCGCGTCCTCGTCACGCGCCAGTCGCGGTTTGAACTTTCGAAACTTGGACCGTCTCGTCGGCGTCATTCGAAAAACGAGAATCCGCGTGAAATCGGTTCCGTTTGACATTTTTAATCTTATCTACGAAAAGATGAGCGATCGCGTGATAATTTGTTCGTATTTCAATGTGTGAGTGCGGTGTAGCTTTTTAATTTGCGTGATGTGACGTATCGTTTGCGTACATAACCTTACATTCTCCATTGTATTTTATCACCATTATTATTGTAACAAATGTGGATTTATAGTGGGAAATTTATGAGAAACTTAGTAATTAACTACGATAAATCTAAATTTGGGAAAAATACAAATATATTGTTGGATATACGTTGGATGTATATTTGAATTGAACCAAGGTTTAAAAATAAAATTACAGACGCTATGAATTGTTTTATTCGATAGGATTAGGGAGAAGAGTTTTTTTTTTTTTATTTTTGTGATTTTCATTTGCAATTAAACGGTGAAACATGTAATACACTTATTTCGATTCTGGAACGCAATCGGGCTACAGGATCAAAATGTGACATTGAAGTGTTCCCGCTTTAGGCGGGAAATACAAAAAGAAGAAGCTCGTCAGATAAAGACTACAATCAATAAATCTTACTTCTTAATCAATACATCTTTGATCCAGAGGAGTGAGTATTATTTCAAAGAGTTATTAAATATATTTGATTCAATCTTTTGTTGTACATTTAATTCAGTCCTAAATACGTACATATCTAATTCCATACATATATATATATTCCCATACATATATATTCCTAGCAGCTCATAAAAACATTTAACATAGAAAACTTTTTCAAGTTCATACAATATACACATATATAATACAGTCATATAATACATTCACTGTTCAAAATATTCTCTAGGGCATTTATTATTCGCTTTTACATAAATAATTAGTATTTTTACTTAATTTATCAGTAAAAAGAAAGAAAAAGAGGATAATATTTAATTTCATTCGAACGAACCATGCGAATTTGTTAGAAATACATTCCGAAACGCGTGCGATGAAATACTTATGTATTTATATCTATATTCAATACTTTGATAGATCTTTCACGGTGGCATTTACGGCCATCATATATAAGCTGAGCCAAGATTTAAGTAGAACGAAAATAGAGGTCGTAATATTGATCAAACGTATCTTTGCGCCATTAAAAGGATGTCATGATTTCCGTGGAAGCCTCCTGGGGATCGATCTGAATCGCGGTTAGAGGCACAATATCGTGAAATGTAATAGGTTTAATCCGTTCTCCCGAGTTGGAGCTTCGTGTCTTTCGTAGAACGCTCGCGTGCGCTCGTGACTCGTTGTGCAAATCTCTTGATAAAATGGGACCAAAAGCAAATTTCGTAAAATCGTAAAGCAATTTATGGAAATACGTCTTATCGTGTCTCACTTTCGTCTCACTTTCTTTCCTTCCTTTTTCGCGCAAATTTCAAACATTGTAAAGCACTTTCACACCGGCATAATACTTTCATGCTTCCTTTTCCCTTACTTTTGCCGGTGTTGGCAAATTTAAATATAGTTTATTTATCAAAGGATAGCGTGTCGGGACAGGTTTATGGATTAAAGTGGAACAGCTTAAAACTTTTGTAGTGATTTCATTGAAGTGCTCAGCCGTGTTTCTTAAGATCAAACGATGATGTATGATCACGCGTGTGATAATCTTGCTTCAGCACGATGCTTGATTTGAAAATGAAACGCCTGTCGGAAGCGCGAAATTTACAATGTAAAATTTCTAAAGAAAAACAAAATCGAACATGAATCACGAGGAAAATATCACTAAGATTCTTCGAAAATGCACCTGCCGCTAATTTGTAAAGTTTCTGAATGAAAATTTATGAATTGCTTTCGGCGGTTTTTAATAGCTGCGAAAGGAATTATGGATGCATCTCTACCGGTGAAAGTTATTTTAAAATTCACACGATTTTCAACGTGACGAATGAATCAGCGAACGAAGCTTACGACGCGCTCTACGATGTAGAGCTTTATTTTAGCATACGAGTGAAATATTTACGAATTCCTCGTATCCAAAAGCACTCAAGAGTCTCGGGATTCGTCAGATAGAAACAACAGAGGCTGCCGAATCGATTCGACGATATTCTTATATTTCTCAGCTCGCTCATGTCTGTTCGTTCATCGTTGGAGAAACTGGAGCGCCAGTTCTCTTCTTCCTCCGATTAAATTAAACAATCCTTTCGTAAGAGTTTCGTAACACTGGAAAAGCGAAAATGAAATTGCGCGAGGAAAATGGAAGGGAACACACATGGAAACATCGACACGCGTACTCAAGTCTCAAATGTTTGCAATGTCTCTATCTAACAATAAGACTTTCTACTGGAGAAATCCAGTCCTCCCCATATCCAAAAAGTCAAATTTTGCAATTAATAAGGATTCGTTGATCGTCAGTCACTTGAACAATTTCCATTTTTCGGTCTCTCATCGTTCTCCCCCCCCCCCCCCCAAAAAAGAATCAAAGCATCAAAAATCAGATCAAACTTCGCAAGATCGTTCGACGCCCAAGACGTCGTTTCGTTCTCTTGGTTAAGAGACCAGAAACGCGAGTTGGAACGTTGCCAAACGGTGGCCACGGCACACGTACACGGTACGCCCACGTCTCGCGACCGCGTTCACTTCCTGCGGATTTGCACACGGGTTAGAAAAGGCGGAGAGAAACTTATGTGCCGTAAATTTATATCTCGAGATGGCGTATCGTGCGATGTTTTTACGATTACCAGATACGTTTCCCCTGATACGATAATGGTTTACGGCTCGGTGGCGCGATCACTGGACAGATTCGGCTCGATTCCATCTCGTGCGGCGCGCGTCAACAACAAGCACACGAACGTCAGATTGACAGTGGCTTGATACATCGTGCGCGGCCAGTGTCGTTTCCACTTGTCGCCGACATCTGTTTCCGTCGGCTGTATATTTATAGCGTGATCGAACGTTGCGGAACTTGATGTCGTTCCGTTCCGACCAAGAAGTCGGCCGAGCACGTTGCTAACGATTGCACTTATGATTTGTGTATGTGTGTTTTTTTGGGGGGGGAGGGGGCTGCGAGAGACGTTCTTCTTCGGTGAAGGGATATGAATTTCAGCAAAGGAGGAGTAGAGTGTAAAGTAATTTATTCGTAGAAAAAATACTAGAGTTGTGTTTGCTTCCAAAGTAACGAAATCTTTACTTATATATACATATATATATATATATATTCTGAATGAGGATAATTCGGTCTCTGATTCTGATAGGTTTGGGATTGCAATGAGTGTCTCAACTTCTCGCTGAATTGAAAAGAAAAGGAGCTGCTATTATTTAGGATTGATTATGTTCTTCCTTGTTGAATATTCCGATACTCAATTCATCGTGCACGATTTTCCAGAATCTGGAACGGATGATCCGAGATTAAACCGCCAATTAACTTTGTTTACAGAGCTGCGAGAACCTATTTGTTTTGTGCATCGTCTGTCTGTCGCAGTTTATTCCCGGATGCGCCGTTAGTAGATCATTTTAATAAGCCACGATTCCATTCGGAGAGCCGGCCGAACGCAACGCAGAAATCACATTTCGGCCGGTGGCACGAGCGTGGCCGCGGGCAGCGCCACATATTTAACAAACCTAATCTTAGATGATTAAACCTTACTGTTCCATCGCGTCAAAACTGGCACCGCCGGTTTCTAAAACGGTATGCAAACACCCGTTTCTGTGTCCACCGTCCCGGAACGCTGTAAACCAAAACAGAGAGAGAGAGAGAGAGAGAGAGAGAGAGAGAGAGAGAGAGAGAGAGAGAACAAACGATGTTTACGTCTCGTTAAAGTGTAATTCCGTTCTTCCTTCGAACGTCAAAAGATTCCACGATCCTTAGTCGACTCCGTGAGTGAATTCGAAAAACGTGGCCGACAATGCCAGAAACGTTAATGCCGAGCCAAATCCCACCGTGGTATATTATAATTCTCCGATCATTTTCATTGGCGGAGCCGCGGGCGAGTTGTATTGCAGGTTCGGATGATTTATCCGAAAGCCCACCTCCCTTCCTCACCTTTTAATACTCCGATCAGCTTAATGGCGCGTTTCCATCCGTGCGGCTGCCACCTAGGCGGGTCCCTCCACCAAGAAAACGAAGGAGGAGAGGCTGGCTACCACCGCCGCCACCACCGCGCGACGTCAACAACCCAGCGAGCAAAAGGCATCGGACGATATTTATGAGAGCCCTTATACCCTGGAACGCGTCGCGTGACTTCAGCGAGGGTGTTGGAACACTCACGCGGCGAAGAGAAGACGCGGGGCAGCGTCATTTCCAAGACGGAAATAGCCGGTCGTAAGGATTTTCGTCGGCGGAACGACACGCACTTTCGACACATTCTCCGGGGGCGTTACGCTTCCGCGTAATTTGCTGGAGACTCCTCTAAAAGCATTTCGCTTTCGTGCATTCTCGCGTGAGTCGCGATGCTTGTACGTGTTGAGAAGTCTCGCTTGAGTGGACACACGCGCACACATCCCCCCCTCCAGTTTGAAGATCTTGGAACTCGGGTTAGCCCAGGTTTTGGTTACCAAAATTAAGCGGAGAATTTGCTTGTCTGGGAATCGAGGAGTCTAGGAATTTTAGGGATTTCAAGAGTCAAGAACTTTGAGGACCTGTAGAAACGTGAGAATCTAGAAATTGAAGAACTTGAGAGATTAGAAATTCTAGAATTTGGAGAGTCAGCGGGTTCGTAAACTCGAGAACCTAAGGATTTAAAAGTTCGGAGAATCAAGAACTTGGAAATTTCGAAATTTAGACATGTAAAAGAATGGAAATCTAGGGATATATAACTTTCAAAAAAGTTTAAAATTCCAGAAGTCGAAGCTTCAGAGATGCAACCTGAATTGCCACAATCATTTATTTATTGTTTGAGAATCGAAATATTTTCAAACGCATCTCGTCAAAATCTCCCACTTTC